AAAGGCAGAACCTATAAATTAGGGCTCTTTGCAGATGACCTAATGGTCACAACACCAGACCCCATAAGCACAGCAACCTCCCTAATCAGAGAACTCATAATAATAATAATTTATTATTTATACCCCGCCCATCTGGCTGAGTTTCCCCAGCCACTCTGGGCGGCTCCCAATCAGTGTTAAAAACAGTACAGCGTTACATATTAAAAACTTCCCTGAACAGGGCTGCCTTAAGATGTCTTCTGAATATCAGGTAATTATTTATCTCTTTGACATCTGATGGGAGGGCGTCCCACAGGGCGGGCGCCACTAGCGAGAAGGCCCTCTGTCTGGTTCCCTGTAGCCTCACTTCTTGCAGTGAGGGAACCGCCAGAAGGCCCTCGGCGCTGGATCTCAGTGTCCGGGCTGAATGATGGGGGTGGAGACGCTCCTTCAGGTATACAGGACCGAGGCCGTTTGCAATGGTGTCGGGCCTACAGGTAACACATTTGCAATGGTGTCGGGCCTACAGGTAAATTTTACAAAGTCAGAAGCTATGTGCTTCAACACCCCTCCTCACACCCAAAAAGAACTCACGAAGGTCACCAAAATAAAACTCTGCCACACCAAGTTCAGATACCTAGGGGTACAAATAACCAAAAACCTCAATAAATTGTACCTCCACAACTACAAGCCCCTGTGGCGACAAATTAACAAAGACCTAAAAAGATGGAACAACAGGAATTTTACTCTCTCAGACAAAATAGCCATGATCAAAATGATCACCCTCCCAAAATTAACCTACCTATTCCAAACCCTCCCAATCTGGATCCCCTCAACCCAACTTCACAGTTGGCAGAGAAAACTACACTCTTTTATCTTCTCACATAAAAAACCAAGAATAAGCCCCAAATACCTGCACCTCCCCACCTCAGAAGGAGGATGGGGAATCCCCAACATAGAAGCATATTACACTGCCAACCAAATACGCCATATAATCCCATATATACTAGAAGATGAGACAAAACAATGGGAACACCTAGAGAGGGACACAATTGAAAACACCTGCACCACAACATACCCACTCCTCCCAAACAAACTAAAGAAAATTCCCACAACAATGATTTTGCAAAGTTTTTTGCAGATAAAATCGCTCAGATTCGGGAAGAAGTAGACTCCACCGTGGGAGCAGGGCCAGGGCGGGAGAGTGCTAGAGTTCTGTCTAGTCAAGTTGAGTGGGATCAATTCCAATCTGTTACCTCCGAGGATGTGGACAGGCTGCTTGGACGAGTGAAACCAACCACCTGTCTCCTGGATCCTTGCCCATCCTGGCTTATAAAAGCTAGCCGGGAAGGACTGGGCGATGGGCTTCGTGGGGTGGTGAATGCTTCCCTCCGTGAGGGAGCCTTCCCAGACCCGCTGAAAGAGGCGGTTATTAAACCGCTTCTTAAAAAACCATCTTTAGATGCGGCCACGATGGCCAATTATCGCCCAGTCTCAAATCTTCCATTCCTGGGCAAGGTGATTGAGCGAGTGGTTGCCGAACAACTCCAGGCACGCCTGGAAGAAGCGGACCATTTGGATCCCTTCCAGTCGGGATTCAGGCCTCATCATGGGACTGAAACTGCCTTGGTCGCACTGGTTGATGATCTCCGGCGGGCTAGGGACAAAGGTGAGAGCTGTTTCCTAGTTCTGCTGGATCTCTCAGCGGCGTTTGATACCATCGACCATAGCATCCTTCTGGACCGTCTTGAGGGGCTGGGAGCTGGGGGCACTGTCATACAGTGGTTCCGCTCCTTCCTCCTGGGCCGTGTCCAGAAAGTGGTGGTGGGGGATGAGTGTTCAGACCCCTGGGCTCTCACTTGTGGGGTACCTCAGGGTTCTGTCCTCTCCCCCATGCTTTTCAACATTTACATGCAGCCGCTGGGAGAGATCATCAGGAGGTTTGGGCTGGGTGTTCATCAGTATGCGGATGATACCCAGCTCTACCTCTCTTTTAAATCAGAACCAGTGAAGGCGGTGAAGGTCCTGCGTGAGTGTCTGGAGGCGGTTGGAGGATGGATGGCGGCTAACAGATTGAGGTTGAATCCTGACAAGACAGAAGTACTGTTTTTGGGGGACAGGAGGCGGGCAGGTGTGGAGGATTCCCTGGTCCTGAATGGGGTAACTGTGCCCCTGAAGGACCAGGTGCGCAGCCTGGGAGTCATTTTGGACTCACAGCTGTCCATGGAGGCACAGGTCAAATCTGTGTCCAGGGCAGCTGTTTACCAGCTCCATCTGGTACGTAGGCTGAAACCCTATCTGCCTGCGGACTGTCTCGCCAGAGTGGTGCATGCTCTGGTTATCTCCCGCTTGGACTACTGCAATGCACTCTACGTGGGGCTACCTTTGAAGGTGACTCGGAAACTACAATTAATCCAGAATGCGGCAGCTAGACTGGTGACTGGGGGCGGCCGCCGAGACCATATAACACCGGTCTTGAAAGACCTGCATTGGCTCCCAGTACGTTTCCGAGCACAATTCAAAGTGTTGGTGCTGACCTTTAAAGCCCTAAACGGCCTCGGTCCAGTATACCTGAAGGAGCGTCTCCACCCCCATCATTCTGCCCGGACGCTGAGGTCCAGCGCCGAGGGCCTTCTGGCGGTTCCCTCATTGCGAGAAGCAAAGCTACAGGGAACCAGGCAGAGGGCCTTCTCGGTAGTGGCGCCCGCCCTGTGGAACGCCCTTCCAGCAGATGTCAAAGCGATAAACAACTACCTAACATTCAGAAGACATCTTAAGGCAGCCCTGTTCAGGGAAGTTTTTAACATGTGATTTTACTGTATTTTTGGTTTTTATGGAAGCCGCCCAGAGTGGCTAGGGAGGCCCAGCCAGATGGGCAGGGTATAAATAATAAATTATTATTATTATTATTAATTATTACAACACTTAACAGGTACACACAGACCATGCTCAAAGCATGGAAAACACAAATAGGCAAACTATCCCCAACCCCATCCCCACTAATCCCCTTGGCGTACCACCCATTATTCCACCATGCAGCACAAAACCTCCAGATAAAAACCTGGTGAACCAAAGGCTTATATCGCCTAATAAAAGGTAAAGGTACCCCTGCCCGTACGGGCCAGTCTTGACAGACTCTAGGGTTGTGCGCCCATCTCACTCAAGAGGCCAGGGGCCAGTGCTGTCCGGAGACACTTCCGGGTCACGTGGCCAGCGTGACATGGCTGCTCTGGCGAGCCAGAGCCGCACACGGAAACGCCGTTTACCTTCCCGCTAGTAAGCGGTCCCTATTTATCTACTTGCACCCGGGGGTGCTTTTGAACTGCTAGGTTGGCAGGCGCTGGGACCGAGCAGCAGGAGCGCACCCCGCCGCGGGGATTCGAACCGCCGACCTTTCGATCGGCAAGCCCTAGGCGCTGAGGCTTTTACCCACAGCGCCACCCACGTCCCCATATCGCCTAATAGACTTTTATAAAAATAACAAACCCTTGTCAACACAAGAAATACAAGACAAACTAGAAGACACCCAAATGCCCTGGTTAACACAACACCAACTACATGCCCTCTTAAACAACCCAACAGTAAAATCAGCAGCAACTAGGCCCCTGACAACCTTTGAAAACCTCCTCCTAACAACAAAGGGAAACGGAAAAGGGACGGTATCCGCAATATACAAAATACTACTCCAAAATCCCGCAAATCCCCTAGACGCAATCAAAAAACAATGGGAGAATGACATAGGCTATGAGATTAACCCCATTCAATGGACCAGAATGTGGTCTAAACCCCCCCCCCTTAAATCCATATCAACGAAAAGAAAAGAACTCACACTGAAACTCACCTACAGGTGGTACCTAACACTAAGGAAACTAGCGCTAATACACCCAGGAACCTCACCAAAATGCTAGAGAGGGTGCACCTCCACAGGCACATACCTCCACATGTGGTGGGAGTGTCCCAAAATCCAACTATTCTGGACAACAGCCATACAAGAAATATGTAAAATAACTAAGCAAGTATTAGACTTCACCCCAGAATTGGCCCTACTAAACATCTTCCAAGACAACAATGCCCATTTACACCACAAAGAACTCATAACCCACCTACTTTCAGCAGCCAGAAACACCATAACCAGACACTGGAGAGACCTGTCAGGAGTCAGCATGGACCAATGGTACCAAATAGTATGGGAAACAACCCTACTAGAAAAATTAACTAATAAACTGAAACTGACACGGGGACAAACAGAAGAAGACACAGCCCAACAGGACAATGACAATAATCCACCAACAGCATACAAATCAATATGGCTAACCTGATCCAAAACACCCACCCACCTCACTCACACACGAAAACAAAGATCACCACAGCCAATCACAAACAAACAATCACACCCTAGGCCAACCCCAACCTCTCTCACCACCAAAGGAACACAAGTGAACAACACAAACAACGCTGACACCAAACTCTACATACATTAAGCATAATAGAAACACCGCTACCCGACCCCACCCCCATCCATCTCCCCTCCCTCCACCCCCTTTTCAATTTTTTTCCTTTTCTTTTTTTTCCCTTCTCCCCCTAATGTCTCAACAAATGAAACGGATTTGTAAAAATGTTACACGAAAAAAAATACGAGGCATTACACTTACACTGTAAAACAAGAAAACCCTTAATAAACTATTTAAAAAAAATAAAAATAAAGAATCAATACACACATTTCCCAAAAAAAGAAAAAAAAGAAAAAAGGTTTAATTACAAGACAGGAAGTTGAACAGGCAATAAATTCAATGCAACTTGGCATACTATAAGACATTGAAAGATTGGCTTATTCAACCACTGGTAGAAGTAACCAATTTAATTCTGCGAGGGGGCAAAGCACCTGAAACCTGGAAGGAAGCGTATATTACTCTGATTCCTAAACAGGGTCAAGATAGATCCAATGTTAAAAACCAATCTCCCTACTCAATGTGGATTATAAAATTTTTGCAAATATATTGGCTAACAGGCTAAAGAAGGTTTTATCGAAATATATCCACAAGAACCAGGCAGGATTTCTGCCTGGAAGACATATGAAAGACAATATTAGGAATGTTGCGGATATTTTGGAAAAATTAGAAGCAAGAAAGAGTTGTAAAGCAATGTTAATGTTTATTGACGCAAAGAAGGCCTTTGACAATGTATCTTGCAGATTTATGCTATATAATTTTGAGAGTATGGGGGTTGGTCAAGATTTTTTAAATAGTATTAAAGCGATCTATCAAGAACAAAAAAGCTAAAATTATTGTAAATAATGTGGTCTCGGAGGAAATTAGAATAGAGAAGGGAACCAGGCAAGGGTGCCCACTTTCCCCTCTGCTGTTTATTTCAGTCCTAGAGGTCTTGCTAAGTATGATTAGAAAAGATGAACAAATCAAAGGTATTACAGTAGGATCCAAACAATATAAATTAAAAGCCTTTGCTGACGATCTAGTACTGACATTACAAGATCCAGACTCCATTGCATTAAAAGCACTGGAGTTGATACAATAATATGGGCAGGTAGCAGGATTCAAGTTAAATAAGAGCAAAACCAAAGTGTTAGAGAAAAATCTGGACAATGAGGAAAGAAAACTACTACAAGAAAAGACGGGCCTAGATTTTGTGAAAAAAGTTACCGCATTTTTTGCTCTATAAGACGCACCAGACCACAAGACGCAGCTAGTTTTTGGAGGAGGAAAACAAGAAAAAAAATATTCTGAATCTCAGAAGCCAGAACAGCAAGAGGGATAGCTGCGCCGTGAAAGCAACAATCCCTCTTGCTGTTCTGGCTTCTGGGATAGCTGCGCAGCCTGCATTCGCTCCATAAGACGCACACACATTTCCCCTTACTTTTTAGGAGGGAAAAAGTGAGTCTTATAGAGCAAAAAATACGGTAAGTATCTGGGTGTGAATCTGTCTGGGAAAAATCTGAAATTATATAAAGATAACTATGAGAAACTATGGAATGAAGTTAATAGAGATTTAGAGATATGGTCAAATTTAAAATTGTCATTAATGGGCCGGATTTCAGTGGTTAAGATGAATGTATTGCCAAAGATGCTTTTTCTGTTTCAAGCCCTCCCAATTATTGACAATGTGAAATGTTTTAAAGAATGGCAGAAAGCTTTATCTAGATTTATCTGGTGGGGGGGGGGACGGACCCAGAATTAAATACAAACTACTTACAGATTCTAAGGAAAGAGGGGGATTCTCCCTGCCAGATCTAAAAATTTACTTTGAAGCAGCAGCTCTCTGCTGGATTAAAGAATGGATACAATTGGAAGATACTGATGTTTTAGACTTAGAGGGATTTGACAATGTATTTGGATGGCATGCATATTTATGGTATGATAAAGTAAGGGCCCATAATGCATTTAAAAATCATGTAATTAGGAAATCTCTATATAATGTATGGATAAAATATAAAGATCTCTTAGAAAGGAAGACACCCAGATGGCTTTCACCAATGGAGGCGAAGGCCCAGAAAAAGTTAAATATGGACATCAAGTGGTTGAGATACTCAGATTTGTTATTGGAGGATAAAGAAGGTTATAAACTAAAACCATTTGATCAAGTAAAAGTTAAGATAAATTGGTTACATTACCACCAGATTAATGAATTGTACAAAGTAGACAAGAAAAATGGTTTTGCTTTGGAAAAATCTAAGTTGGAAATGGAGTTGTTGGATTCTAAAGTTAAAAATTTGTCTAAAATATATAATTTATTGTTGGAGTGGCATACAAAGGATGAACAAGTCAAATCAGTGATGATAGATTGGGCAAGAGATGTGGGACATAATCTAATGTTTGAGGACTGGGGAAAATTGTGGCAGAAAGGGGTCAGGTTCACTGTATGTTAAAGGAAAATACAATGAAAATGATGTACAGATGATATTTGACTCTGGTAAAACTAGCGAAGATTTACCATAACAGTGATAATTTTTGTTGGAAATGTAAAGAAAAAGAGGGTACGTTTTATTATATGTGGTAGACCTGCCCCAAGGTGAAAGACGTATGGGAAAAGATTTATAATGAATTGGAAAAAATGTTGAAATATACATTTACTAAGAAACCAGAGGCCTTTCTTCTTGGAATAACAAGTTTGGACTTGCCCAAGAAAGATGTTAAATTATTTTTGTATGCCACAACTGCTGCTCGAATTTTATTAGCTAAGAACTGGAAAGCACAAGAAGTTCCAACAGTGGAAGATTGGCAGATGAAGATGATGGACTTTTCGGAGCTGGCTGACCTGACTGGAAGAGTTCGTGATCAGAAAGAGGAGGAGTATCAGGAAGAATGGTCGAAGTTTAAAGACTATTTAGTTAAATATGTTAAGTTAACTTAATTGGAAATGCTTGCAAATACCAGATAGGCTTAGGAGTGAAATATGTAATGCGATGAAATAATTTGTTTAATGCTAAATTGGAAAGAAAGAAAGAAAGAAAGAAAGAAAGAAAGAAAGAAAGAAAGAAAGAAAGATGTTAAGTGATTAAGTTAATTTTATAAGAATATTGGTTTTGGAAAACCGTTAAAATGATATACACTGAAATTCAACCAGGGGGATACGTGGAAATTGCTAAACAATTAATTGCTTAAGATTAATTTTAATAAGGTTAGGATTTATGTTTATTTGTGTGTTTATAAATTTTGTGGAAAATCAATAAAAAAATTGAAGAAGAAAAAAAGAGTTTTGAGGAAGGATGGAGAGAAAGGGGTGGTGGCGACACCATGAACACGGGGGGAGTACTTCCATGTCTAGGGACCAGCAAAGGGGAATGGTGGAGCCAGTTAAGGAAGCAGAAGATCTTTGGTTGGCTAAGGGCAGGAGGTCACAGCCAAGAATATAAGAAGAAACAAGTTAAGATGGAGGAAGGGCTGTGGGCAGTTTTTAAAGTAAGGGCAAGTGGCTGGTGATGGATGCAGACAGGATTCCGTTCAGAACCACAGCAGCAAGTAAATTTTGCCAGCTTGTAGACCTCTATCATAACTGAATCCCTAACCCAAAGACACAAAACCAGTAACATTCACAAATAATTCCATTATTTTATTGTAATCCACTTTGGGATTAGTAAGGATGAAGAACAGGCTTGAGATATATTGAACATATACCTGAACATGCAACATTTTACCTGGCAGCCTGGGTCCAGTCTGGTTTTTGTGTCTTGATTGGGACAGCATAAATGTCTGGGTGTCTCTGAGCTATTTCCACCTGTAAAAGGAGAGTGTATGATCAAAACATTTTGAAGTTTCCCTTAATGGGTGACTAAACCCAGTGTAACTGTGACATGATAACAAGTTCCATTTCCCCAATTTACAGATTGTCACAGTATTCAAAAAGCATACAAAGCAGCAGAGAATAAAGCTATTAGTACACTGCTACTAGTACCTAAAAACCTACTTGTTATTGGGAAAGATTAAAATATTTCTCTCTTTACCAACAAATCAGCCTAGCCTTCCCACAAGTGGCTGTGCTCTAGAGTTTGCCGCTGACAGAAGGAGAGGCCGTTTGCTCCAGTTCATCCTTCTCCTCAGCAATCTCCAGCTCCACACTCTTCTGGAGAGTCCTTCAACCCCATAGCAGGTAGCAGATAGTCAAGGGGAATCAGCCAAAATCACCTCTATTACTCTTTCTGCAAATGGAACTGTGGCTTGTAGCCAACTAACTTCTTCTCAGAGTAAATGAATGAAGATAGCCATTTCTATTAATTTCAACAGGTCTACTCTGTGATATACTAGCATTGGGTACAATCCTCTGCTCACAGGATCTCTAGATCTAATCCACTGTTTTTATGATGTTTCAATAGTTTGAGTGGCAATAATTTCTAAAACAGACACAAATGCAAAAAATTGGTTTGTGGTTCACTTCATACCCTGGCATTTTGTGCTTCTTGTAGTTCTTGCATTCGTTGAAGTCTTGCTTTGTGGTCCATTTTCTCAAATATTTTAACTTTCCCCAGCACAGATTTTGGTGTGTTCCCTGGTTCTTCTATCCCCTCCTCCGATTTCTCCTCCACCTCCGTTGATGGGACAGGTGGCTGAGACGATTTCAATATGGGGCGCCCAAAAGTAGGTTTGATGGCTATTGGGGGAGGGGCCACTTTCATTGGTACTCCATAAGTTTCACTGCTAGAAGCATTAGGGCTGCCTGTTCTGGCTTCGTAATTCTTAGGGATATCATAGGGATCTTCTCTGTTTTGCAGTTTACCCTGAAAGCAGAAGGCAACAGCCAGTACAGCATTAGTATTTACATAGAAGTAGCAGTTTTGGTCTGGAAATGATCAGCCATGAGAAACTGGTTAATATAGTTTGTAAAGCCTAAACTGGTTACTGATATTTTGAGCTAAGGAAAAACAGGTAGTTGAGGCACCACACTGGGAAAAAGTTTAGCTAAGATGAAAATGTGGAGCTGTGAATCAAGCAGGGAATGTTGAGAGGCCTTCTGAGGAAAACTCTCTTAATAAGTAACCCTTATTAGCAAATGCAACACTTGACCCCAGTTAGGTGTTCTCTTCCTCTCCAATTACCTTTGGGGGTTCAGGCTTGAATGCTGGAGGTGGGCTGGGATCTCTCAGAACTTCCCTGCTACCAGCTCTTCTCATTTGAGTTCTTGGTTCTGGGCTGGATTTCCTTAAACTCTATGGACAAGTAATAGTAGCTCGTTATGCATACAGTCACACAGTTCTTGACTTGTGGGAGGCATAGTTACAGTCTGCAACTGCTGGGAAAAGTGTTTTGTTTTCCGTTTTTTCTTCCTTTAAATATAATTCACCAGCAGCACTGCTCTTGTACAGTACAGCCATTTTACCACAAGGTAATTTGAAGCAGGGACCCCCCCCCCTTTGTTAGAGCAATAAAACCTCTTCCTTTCTACATAGGAGTGCACACAATAGACACCAACAACTCAAAATGCCACTGAATTTCCCACCCACATCACTTCAGTGAGCATGTGTTGTCAATGTTTTACCACCTAATGCTCTGAGAGAAAAACAGCAGTCTTCTTCTGGATCTCTCACCTCCTCCTCCTGCTGCTGCACGGGCTCGGAGGACCGACTAATGGAGGAAACTCTGGGCTCGTTGATTGGCTCATCAAGTTCGTTGTCTGTGTAAGCCCCGCCTTCTCCATCGGTGTCTTCCATGTCACTGACCAGTCGGCTGTCACAGCTCAGATAGTCAGCGCCCATCGCTGTTAAGTATGACATACGGTCTTCCAGGTCATCATCCATTCCTTCCAGCTGTAAAGGGATTTTGTGAAGAGGTTACGCTCTCCTTGTCACATCAGGGCTCACATTATGTAACACAGTAAGACACAGTATAAAGTAGCTTCAATAGATGGGACTACCATGTACCATTAAAAGCAATTTCATTCCATTTTCATTACTAATAGCAACATGAGATACTGGAAGTTTTCATTAGGTTGCAATTCTCACTGGCAAAGTTTTTTGCCATTTTCCCCCAGTTAATAATAATAACAATAACAACAACAATAATAATTTTATTATTTATGCCCTGCCCATCTGGCTGGGTTTCCCCAGCCACTCTGGACGGCTCCCAACAGAATATTAAAAACACGATAAAACATCGTGCAGAAGAGTCAATTGTGAAGAAGTGGGGGGGGGATGCCTGTACTCTGCCTGCAATCTTGGTTGCAGCCTCCTTCTGAATTCCTGTTGCTGGGAGGTAGAGGAGGGGAGAGGGCTGCTCTTGTGCTCAGGTCCTGCTTATGAGCTTCCGATGGGCATCTGATTGGCCACTGTGAGAACAAGATGCTGGCCTTACCCAAAAGGGCTGCCACATTCTTATGACCACCTACCTTTCCTTCGGAGACCCACACGGCTTCGCCTTGTTGTTGCTGAATAGTATCTTTTAAGCTGCCATACCAACCATCATTGGCTGAATTTAGATCAATAGTAGCTGCAGATATTTTTTTAAATAAAAAAATGGTTATATTTTCAAAGCATTAGTCTCATACACGACACTATATTACTTCAGTCATTTTCAAAACAATGGAAACACTCCATATAACACTCCATAGTGTTAATGTTCTCCACTGATTATATAGTTATTCCAGACTCCCGATGAAATCAGCTTTGCTGCTGTTGCTTTTAACTGATGAGAATGCCAAGACTATTTTTATTTTCCTATCACTTCAAACCATTGCTTCTTATCCTGATTTCAGAAGGAACTGTTTTTTTATAGGATCTTTAAAATATTTTGGAAACATGATTGTATATTCTGTTATCTACTGGAAAGATGGAGCAACAGATTCTACCAGTTATGTATTTAATGTGGTGGGCAAGTTGAGAAGGTAAACTAAAAACCTTATTGTATGGATGCTTTAGCTGAGATCCTTGCATTGCAGGGGGTCCCTTCCATTATTCTGTGATGAAAGGAAGTACAGGAAAAAAGCAAGAAAGATATTTCATGCATGGGACTAAGTGACCAGCATATTTTAAAAGCATGGGTCACACACCATCCAATACATAATTCCTACTCAACCTCCACTGAAATAAGACTTGCTCCGTGCAGTGAGAAGGGCTGTCATGTGAAATTCATTCTGCACCTAGAGATGCTTTCAAAGAAAACCAAACAAAGAAGCAAGCAACCTATTTCCACCTACCTGTGAAAAGATGCGAGCAGGTCCTCTTCAGCTTATTTGCTTGGTCATACAACTTCCGTGCGCTCTTGTTGGAGGTGGGAATTAGCCTTTGCCTCATGACTTTCACACCCTGCTTGCTATCTGGGTTGAAAAAAACTACAATTGGGAACCACTGGGTGTAGTTTAACAGATCCACGGCTTTTGGGGTCACATCCAATAGAGCATGTTTATCCTGTTAAAAGTGCAGCAATAGGAAAGTTACAGGTACAAAAAGGACAGCAAAATAACAGCATCTCCATCCCCAGTATCTCCTACTTGGCTTTCCAACATGATAAAAAGCTAAGAGAAACGGCCCGGGGGTGGGTGGGGGGAGTGAATATGTGTACCTGCTCAATGATTTGCCTCACAGTATTCAAACGCACAACGCCGGTGGACTTTTCTGAGCCTGCATCTTTAGGCTCGGTTTCTGCAAGAATAATACAGCTATGTCGTCATGTCCTTAATAATGTTTCCGTGGATCACTAAATGCTGAAGGATTGTGTTAAGAGAGGAGCACTGAAAGACTTACTGGCAGCATGATACATCTCAGGCAAGTCATTGCAAAGTTTCTCCATTGCTACGTCTGCAATGGGACCAAAGATCACCACAGGGCGCCTAAAACCAGCTGAAAATAGAAAGCTGCATATGACTAGTTTCTATTTTATAATGACCAAAACAAAAAACTGTTCCCTCTAAAATACAGAAATGAATATCCCCAAAATCATCCAATCATCATAATCATCTGTAAAATACGTGAGGACATTTTGTCCTCACAAAGGGAAAAGTTCCTCACAATTCAGACATACTTTCACTGGAAATTGGCAGAGGCCAACAAACAGCAGCTGACACACTTAAGAGACAATTACTTGCAGATACCCTTCACACAATATGGCTCTGTGAAACATCTCTCACACAAGTCAGTACAGCAAATATTCTGTTCTAACGCAGTCCAAAATAATTATTAACTCTACATCTTAGCAGCTATTGCTTCAGTGTGTTTGCTTTTGTTGAAACAATCCCTACATGTCTCTTAAATGGTATTTTAAAATAACATGTCCCTTAACACTTTTGTGCAGTCACAGGTGTGTCATGCTGAGATGCTAACTCACATTTAACCAGAATAAAGTTGGCACACTCCTTGCTAAGCTTTCCACAAGAGATATTGAAAAGAGGTCTCTTGAAAAGAGTTATTCAGATTTGAAGGGCATCATCACTATTTTGTTCCAACAAAGAATATTCAAAGCCTGTTTTTTTGAAAATACCTATTTATTACCCTAACATATACAATAATCCACGCTTATCTATGAGAATGGACTGTATTCTAGCCAATGCAATACTAGCATGACAGCAGATAAGCTACACTTAGAGAAAGAATTAAGCATACATTTTCACAACACAGTTCAAGAAAAGGGGGCGCACAGCAGCACTGATGGAGAGAGTGCCTTGCCCTGAGTATTTACTAAGTGTATCTCCAAATGAGCCAGCCTGACTTTGAAAACTGACTCACACATTACAGTTATAACAGCAGCACAACAGAAGCTCATTTGTAATGTCTGAAATGCTTACATGTCTTTTTTTAACTTCTCAAAACATTATGAACACACTGTGCGTTAGTATATTTTGTGTTTCCATATTTTGTATTGTGGACTATTCCATTATTTGGCAGCCCACAATATTCACAGGAGGGGCATGCAGGGGAACTGGTTACTGAAGAGGGGGGAGAACCCCTCATCTAAACAAATTTAATGTGATGTTTTGGACAGGCCACAACATGGTTGTGACCAGAGACAGACTTAACCACTTGCAGTTAGCCTAGAGATAAAGCCAATTGGCTTGATTTGTTTAAGCTGCCAGAAAAAATTGCTGTAGCTGTCTTTTACAAATGAGGAAATGAGCTGTCAGTTTTTATATGCTGTCACTCACTCACCCTCCCGGAGCATGACTCGCTCATAGGCTGGAAATTTTGTGCTAACAGATGCAATTGCTGTCAAATCTTCACGGCTCTTCTTTAGATTCTTTTTCATTCCAGACCGTTGGCCACGCATCCGCCAGAAGTCTGCCCTGTCACTGGAGCCATCTCTCTGAGCATTTTGAACACTGGCCATCTGCTCAGCCCTGAAAAAGAAACAGCATTTAGTCCATTTGTAAAAGTCAGCAAGTCAACTTGTGTGCATTTCTGCAGGCAGAAAAGCATATCATAGACACAACTGATGCTATAAAATAGTACAGGACGGCCCCCTTCACTATATTCCTATGTATGTACATGTATGTATAGGTAACATATCCAAGTCTTTGGCTGCTTCCCCTAATACCTCCTGACATCAGGAGCAGGGACAGCAGTGTGACGCAAGAGCCCCTTTACATGTTAGATTTATGAAGTACCGTAGGTCTTTGCCTCTAAATGTGTCGCTTTCCTCTTCTACATAAGAGTAAAACACAACCATTTATTTATATGAGACCAAATAAAGGGGTGTAACCCAAGGACACCACTGGGGAAGAGGATCCCAAGTGACCCTTGTAAATAAGAATTGAGTTCTGCATGTACTTATTTACATCTGTTTTTGATAACACTAGACAGAGATGGAATAAACTACAAGAGAGAGTAACATCAATTAACATCATGATCTGCAGGTTATTAAGATACCTGCTTTTGTTTGGAATCAGGCCCTTCTCCAACTCGCTCTCAATCCGCACAGCCAGCCAGTGACCCAGTTTTCCATCATACAGTGTATCGACCACTCGGAAGACCTCCCCTCTGGTGAAGGCTAAGCTTTGTGGCATTTCCTTTTCACATTCAAAATGTGTCCTTATGAAGAAAGAATCTCCTCGGCCGCAGGCCATTATATCTCTGTAAACTAGTGAGAAAGACCACATCTAGTTCAATTATTTTTCTCAGTAGGTCTATAGCAGGGCTTTGGGGACTCTCTTAGAAGACTGCTGCAGTCAGCACAAAGAAACTACCGGACATTGTAGATTTGCAAATATTTTCCATAAGAATCTGCTGTGTGCAAATGACTGAAGAGCCATTAATACACGTCATTTTGACTTAAAATCTGCATGGAAATGAGAAGCTTTAATTATTTCTACTAACCCACTTTCTCCAATAAGATGCAGAAAAATCAGAGCAAAATGCCGCAGCTGACTACTGCTATATTTGCTGTTCACCTGCTACAAAGAGACACAGATTGAGCTATAGATAAAAGCAGGAAGTACATAAACAAAAATTACATGCCAGGCGCCTACCATCATATTTGCTCTGGGCCAGAATTGTCACAATATCTCCTTTTGGAATCTCCAACAGGTACAGAACAGCATCCTCTCGAATAATACCTCTGAAGTCTTGAGTGTTTACCTGATACAAAACCACCAAACAGATTTTAAGAGAAGATTCCTTTGATATAGACCACCAAAGAGGAAGAAGCTGGTTTTGCCTTTGTGCAAAATATTAATTTTAGCCAACCAACTTTACACATTTCTGGGTTATATTCACTGCGGGCAGGAACATGTCAATCTCCCTCTCTGAACTGACTCAGAACCAACCATTTTTCTACTAGCAAGTACAACCAACTTTTAACCACTATACTTCTCCTAAAAATAATGTTTTAGATGTGTAATTCGGGGTGATCAGACACCCTTATTTGTTTCAGAACAGTTTGCCTGTTACAAGAGCTAAGTGAATACTGCATTGGATGAGGCTAAAACCATTGGATTGTATCCAGAGTAGACCCAATGAATCAATGGACATGGCTAACAGGTTCATTTATTGCAATGGGTCTTCTTTGAGAAGGATTTCATGGGATACTTAACCATGGTCAGCAGCTGCATGCTTTAGAACAGAGGTCGGCAACCTAAGGTCCGCGGGCTGGTTCCGGCCCAAATGGGTTCTGAACCGGCCAACGGACGGTCCAGAAATCACTGCATGGTTCTGATTCATATTGTTTGGGCTGCGCCATTTTTCTCTCTCTCTCCCTGATGGCGGCGCCTCCTCCCTCCCTCCTCCTGGCTTCTCCCCCGCCCTGCGGAAGGAGGGGGCTAGCCTTTGATTGGTGCCAGCAGCATTGTTTCCTTCTCATTGGTTGCAGCTTCCTTTCCTCCTCCCTCCCTCCCGAGCCAAGAGGAAGGGGCCTGGGCTTTGTTTGTGCCAGCGTGATTTAAGGCAGCCCCTCTCTGGCTCTCCCCTGGCTCGCTGCTCCTTCTGCCACCGCCACGAGTAGTTCTGTTCTGAGACACCCTCCCGGGGTTCTGGGGTGTATGAAGCCTTGTTTCACCCGTTTTTAACTCCGCTACCGAATGCGTCTCCCCCTCCAAGACGGGAGAGAGGCGAACATGTGTCCTTCTGCAGAAGGAACTGCTCGCTGCAGGACACATGTTCTCCGCTTTCTCGTCTTGGAGGGGGAGACACGTTCGGTAGCAGAGTTAAAAATGAGGAAACAAAGCTTCGCACACCCCAGAACCCTGGGAGGGTGTCTCAGAAGGAACAGATATGCTGTGGCACGGAACTGAGACCTTTGGAACTTTATTATTGTTTTTTGATGGAATCTTTGGATCCTGTAGTAACGAGAGAGTGTGCATGCGCGTGCGCGCTCTGGCCTGCGGCAAGGTTTGAGGGACAGTGATCTGGCCCTCTACTTTAAAAGGTTGCTGACCCCTGCTTTAGAATGCCTGAAGAAGGCTTAAAGTTCTTTTAAAACAAGTGATGCCCAGGAGGCTGCTGGGAGGAACGTGAGCTCAGAAATCAATCAGTTCAGATCAGAAGGAATACAGTGGTACCTCGGGCTACAGACACTTCAGGTTACAGACGCTTCAGGTTACAGACTCTGCTAATCCAGAAATAGTACCTCGGGTTAAGAACTTTGCTTCAGGATGAGTACAGAAATCACGCGGCGGCAGCAGCAGGAGGCCCCATTAGCTAAAGTGGTACTTCAGGCTAAGAACAGTTTTAGGTTAAGAATGGACCTCCGGAACAAATTAAGTTCTTAACCCAAGGTACCACTGTAGTACTATTCTGTACTGTAACTTCACAAAGATTGGTGGAAAACACAATAGAATGATAACTAGGTAACAATTGCCTCAGCTGGGTTGTCAAGATGCTGCCAGAGGTTTTAACGTAACAAGTTGCTTCAGGAACTGTTTTTAAATTAGGAATCCCATCCAAGGTTTTGAAACAAACACATTTACTAAAATATTATTTTAAAAGAACTTTCATAGCTACTTATATTGAAATACAGCAATTTCTCCACTGAACCGTGCAAGAAAACAGCGCTATGCAGAACCATGTATACCTTAAGAATCTGGTCTCCCTCTTGTAGGCCTTCCTGCTCTGCAGAGGTACCTTCTTGAATTCCAGCAACAAATATTCCTACATCATTCCCACCTGCCAGCCTGATGCCCACGCTGTCACCTTTCTTGAACTTCACCATCTTTGTACCAGGACTTGAGAAAGAAAAGGAGTTTTAGAGATGATTTGAGTCGTGTAAGAGCATTTCATGTGTAAGCACATGAAAGCTGAGGCAACGTAGTCCCCATGTGAAGACATCAGCATCGCAAACTTACACATTTAAAGCAGCCATGGGATTACAAAAGTACAGGGATTTCCACCACACTTATTTCATGTGCTGTATACTGCAGTGTTTCCCAACCTTTTTTGGGCAAAGGCACACTTCTTTCATGAAAAAAATCTCGAGGCACACCACCATTAGAAAATGTTAAAAAATTTAACTCTGTGCCTATATTGACTATATAAAAAGTACAGTGGTGCCTCGCAAGACGAAATTAATTCGTTCCGCAAGTCTCTTCGTCTTGCGAGTTTTTCGTCTTGCGATGCACGGTTTCCCATAGGAATGCATTGAAAATCAATTAATGCGTTCCTAGGGAAACCGCCTTCAGACCAGGTCCGGGGACAGTCTGTCCCCCGACCTCTTCTGAAGGCTGGGGGGGGGGACAAGGGCTTTTCTTCCCACTGCCAGCCTTCAGAAGGCTGTTCTGAAGGCTGGCGGTGGGAAGAAAAGCCCTTCTTCCCACCTCCCGCCCCGCAAGCTACGGGGACAGGAGGGCTTTGCTGCCGACCGCCAGCATTTTAAAAGCCCCTGCTGTCCCGGGGCGATTTTAAAATGCTGGCGGGTGGGAGCGAAGTCTCCGCTGCCCCGAGGAGATTTTAAAATGCTGGGGGTCGGCAGCGAACGCTTCGCTCCCGCCCGCCAGCATTTTAAGATCGCCCGGGGCAGCGGAGAAGTCTCCGCTGTCCCGGGAAGGCAGGCGGGGGGAGCAAAGACTTTTGCCCCCGCCTGCCTTCAGAAGAGGTCCAGGACCTCGTTCCGATGCTGGGCGGCGGGGGGAGAGGTTCCCGGCCCACCGGCCCGCTTCGGAGCAGCGCTCCGAAGCGGGGCGGCTGGGGCAGGTGTTCCCGCCCCCCCGCCCCGCTTCGGAGCAGCGTTCCGAAGCGGGGCGGCTGGGGCAGGTGTTCCCGCCCCCCCGCCCCGCTTCGGAGCAGCGTTCCGAAGCGGGGCGGCTGGGGCAGGTGTTCCCGCCCCCGCCCCGCTTTGGAGCAGCGTTTCGAAGCGGGGCGGCTGGGGCAGGTGTTCCCGCCCCCCCGCCCCGCTTCGGAGCAGCGTTCCGAAGCGGGGCGGCTGGGGCAGGTGTTCCCGCCCCCCGCCCCGCTTCGGAGCAGCGTTCCGAAGCGGGGCGGCTGGGGCAGGTGTTCCCGCCCCCCCGCCCCGCTTCGGAGCAGCGGGAGAAGCGATCTCCCCGCAGCCCCTTGCTTCAAAAGAGGTCCGGGGGCAGCGGGGACGGGGAAGAAGCGCCTCTCCCGCCTCCCTCCCACGGCACACCAGGCAAGGTCTCACGGCACACCAGTGTGCCGCGGAACACCGGTTGGGAAACACTGGTATACTGAAACATAGTGGTAGGGGGAAGGTTGACATAAAACAGTGCACACCATGAGCTGGTAGTCAACTCTGTGGTCACCAATGGAAAAAAGGCAGCCACAATAATGGGAACAACTCTGGCTCCCTGTTAACACAGTCCGTTGCATCCTAGCCTCGTTTTACACAATTGTGTATTCACAGGCGTGAGCACTTGGTGGGACTGGACATTGTGAGCAGACACATGAGATCCCAGGCTGCAGTGACCTGTATCTACAGAGCTGATCAGAAGCAGATGCCAAGAACTGACTGTCTACTGCAGTGCCACTGCTGCATTTCTTAACATGGTTAGGAGATTAGAAGTGCCTCAGAGCCTCCCTTCCAACTCAGGTGTACAAATTCCGTTTTTATGTATCTCCCACTAAGAGATAATTATGATTAATATTACAGCTACTCCTGCAATTTCAACTACCATAGGGTGGTACCAAACCACAGTTTGCAACCCTCTTTGGAAGTTAATTTTGCAAATTGTGGCTTTGGCTAAACTATGATTACACCTAATTTTGATGCATACATGTAATGATGTTGGGAAATCTTAGCAAGTTAAAACTTTGGCTCATGAAAAAGAAGAGCATTATGGGAGAGCCAAATGCTGTAGAATCCTGGGAAAGTGTATCTGGTTCTTTAATTGCCGAATTCTTGTCTTCAGAAGTGTAAATTGGGTGTCTCCTTCCTCTGTAGGAAAGGGAGTTTCTAGTTGATTTGTTGTTCTTGACACCTGGGTGTTATCTGGCTAATTTACAACTCAAAGAATCTGGTCTGTGTCTGGGAATGCTTTAATCTTCAAGGTCTTTTGATAAACAGGATTCAGCTGTCTCCTAACAAGCCTGAGCTATTGTTCCTCCATGTAACCATTGGCAAATTGCTAATTAATCTAAAGACCTGATTGGATTAAGTTTTGAATCCCCCTGGGTTCAAGAGGGATAAAACCTTAGGAAACTAACTTGCAAAATGCAGACCTTTTCACAACCCATCTTGCCTAGCACACCTTGCCATGTGAGACCATCCTCATGCAAAGGGCCTGCCCTGATGCCGGAGGTGCAGAGTCAGCTGAGAACTTCTTTGAACTACTCTGTTTTGTAATTTTGTTCTCCTTGTGAGTATGTTCTGTAGTTAGTGATACTAAATAATGTTTTTATTTATTGTTTGGGATTTGTAAGAGATGTGCCAACTTTTATGTTCTGAATAATCTTTCGTTTTAATAAATTCTGGCAAAAGGACTTTTTCCTGCTTTTGTCTTTTGTCCCTTTCTGCCGGGGAAGCTGAACCAGTACCTGACCACTTAGTTGCCTACCAGAGCCTGTTGGATTTCTGTCTGCCTCATGGTAAAGTGACACAGAGGGGGGCAGCCTGGTAAAGCTGAAGAGTAATCACCTTCCTTAAGTTACTTTTTGGGGGCTGTTCTGAGATAAGGAAGTGGTGGTAGCAAACTACTGTTCTGTTTTTTGTGTTCTGAAAAAGCTTTTGCGTGCCAGTCTCTCTTCCTGCCGGATTTGGAGGACGGCTTGGAGAGGTGGAGAGGGCGCGTGAATGCTACAATACATATTTAAGGTATTAAAGTAATAGGTGAAATATAAAACACATACCCATATATTGCTAGGTCTTCAGGACTTGGCTGAAGGAACGTTCTTGGGGCTGGCTTGGGCTGAACAACTGTATGTATTAAAAAACAACATGATGCACACAGAATCATAGAACTAGCTTCCATTTTGTTTCTAAATAACACAAAAGACAGAAATGAGTAAAAAGAAGAACGATTAGGGTATCTAAATCTTTTTATTTAGAAATAACTTTCACTTTCTTCCTATTAGTCTGTTTAAGATTGTAATCTATAGGCAGTCAGACCAAAAGTATTCAATACCAAGAGACAGCTGAACTATAAATTCCAAGGTGATACTAAATATGGCTAAAAAATTATTTTCCAACTATGTAATCCCCTCAACTAGGATTCTCTTTTAAGTTGGTTTACCTGAATATCACAAATCAGATCTCAAAGGCCAACCAGCCTTTTCTGGTACAAAGCTTTAAATGTCTCTATGTTTAATACATTCTGCCAATATTAATTCTATTATAACAGAGGAAGGAAAATATTTTTTTTACATTTGCATTTATTTCACAAGCTCAGTTTGCTGTAGTGCCCCTCTTTTACATTTACATGTTTACCAGTAAAAAACAAAAAACGTGTGAAACGCATACAGTTTTATTGGGCTGCCTCCAATGTCTCAGCTTATTTTCTGTTTTAAAACAATTGCTAACAGACAAACTGAAAGATAATTTGGTATGCAGTTGGTGTGCTGAAAAAGACAAGCGGTCCTCTCTCCCGTCTATAAAAGTAGCTTAGGGGAAGGATTCTTAATGCACCAGAGTAGATTATTAGAAGGGAAAGCCTGGAGCAGCAGAAATGAAATGTCATCTGCGTTAACAACTGATCAGGTTTTATATTTCTATGAATGAAACAAGGCTCCTCCTCCTATTGAAATTAAAGCATTTCAAAGTCGAGAGAGAGTGAAACTGACCTGGAGGATCATCTTGGTACTTGGGTTCACTATTTGTCTCTGGGATTAAAGCAGCAGTGAGATCACCGGTTGATCTAAAAGGCGTAGGCGTTGCTCCCATTTTGGATAGTCTGCTGGCTGGATCTTCTTTTGCACTTAAAACAAAATCCACAAAGTTAATAGAAAAGTTGAGGATCTAGTAACCGTAACAGATGTGACACCACGCCCTTCCTACCTCTGTTTTTCCTTTAGCTTTTCGTTGGAAGAATGAGAATCTAAATCTGAATGGTGCAGCCTCCTATCTTCCTGAGGGGAGCAAGACCTGTTTGACTCTATTTCAGAAATATCTGTTGAGAGAGGAGAGCATAAATTTAGCTGCACAATAAACATTTGAACATCCTTGTTGGTTTTATTGACATTATACTGGAGTGCTCCTCCCCCTTCACCAAGAAGAGAGAGCTTTGGCTTAGTTAAAGCAGGACCTGTGAACTTAAGGCAGCCCACAAGAGGTAGATGGGAGCATGAAAGGAACATGCAGGACCAACGCTCATGCCCAGTTACATAAACCATCATTAGGAAGCTGGGAAAGTTACATGCAAAGTGGCCTTCTAGCCACCAGATCCATGACCTCATGATCACTTCATATCTGGCACTGAATACAGTTTTTCCTTCCCAGGAAAAATGCCATGTAAGAAGTGACCTTTAGTGGGCAGCCTGCACATGCTCAGAGGTAGTCTCCTTCCCAGCCAGCCTATGGATACAACAGAACAGTATGACCAATGAATGCAATGGAAGTGAAGAAACCTGGTATGAAAAACACATTCTGTGGCATATTCTTAGCTCATATTGGCCTTGGCTTGGGGCACAGGAACTCACCCACATGCCTTGCCTTGACTCAAGAAATTTGGTCACACAGTAACACCAGTTACTGGTACAGATTTCCAAGTCTCAAAATCTGTACCACAAAAAACACACAAGCTTTTACACTTAGCAACTTTTGTTTTGTGTCTAATTGAGTACATTTCTGTGAGGGTATATTTTTATTTATTGTCACATACTGCAAATAAATACTTAAATAGGAAAGTGACTTTCACTCCGCTTCTAAGCTCTCACCTTCTATTTCTGACTCGCTGTCATGCATGGAAGGGATGTTGATTAGGGTTTGTTTTCTGTCCCTTAGGACAACCAACTGGAGTTTTCCTCTTGATTTCTCAATCAATTTTCTGGCATCAAATAAAGACATATTCTCTGTCACTGTACCATTGATCTGGATATGTGAGACAAACATATTTACTTACACTTTCAGCACAAACGGTTCTGATAGATCAGTTCAGAGCTGAATCTCCATTCACTAATTGCAAATGGACAGGAAAACTTGCAAAGTGTCCATCTCCCCAAAACCATAAGAAATTAAGGGCCCTTAATACAAAAACGTACTTTGAGAATGATGTCCCCTTCGTGCAAATTGCCATCCTTGGTTGCCAGCCCCGTGCTGGTCATTTCTTTGATGAAAATCTGACTTCCAAGTCGAAGGCCATATTCTGCAAGTGGAACAGTAAGAGACAGTTTTGCAGCTTGACACATGAAGCATGCTACATGCCACTGGTTTCCAATATATGCATGTGGAGGGAGCCATCAATGGTATTTTGTCTTTCTCAGTGGATTGGAGGACAAAGGGGGACCTGAGCAATGCAGCTGTGGCACATCAGGCCAAACAGACTCTACTGGTCAGGTAGGGAGGGTCACCAAGATTTTACATATAGCTACTAATCTGGCTGACTGCCTGGGATGCAAAAATAAGGAAGTATCAAGTGCCAGGGCAAGGTACTACACAGGGCTGGCAGGCAAGTTCAGCTTCATGGCTTCCTGATCTGACTGAGTTCCATGCTAGCTCGTGGCTTCCTAATGTTGAGAAAAAGTGGATCAAATTGCTTGCCCTATATTCTGTAAACCAAGGTATACATTTAAATTTAAGGCATCTTTGGGTCCTTCTCAGTAGTTTTGACACCGTGGAGTGTGTACCATACGTTCCTCTAGGACGTTTACATGGCACTTTGTCCACAATATATTTGTAAGGTATCCTAAAATTTTTGTCTCGTTTAATTCTTTGGAAAAAATAAAAACTGTGAGGTGCCAAGCAAACAGAGGTTTGCAATCAATGGGTTAAACGGCCAAGGGGAGAGGAGGTAAAAGCAAGGAGGATGCATTCCTTTCAACCTCTCACCAAAAGATGCTGGGCACTTGCCTTCATTTGATCTGCTTTTTGTGAGGAGAACATTAACTGGCCCACTGGGGTCCTGATGTGCTCCATAGTCATACTGAGGCTGCAATTCAGGGGAAGGGCTGCGGGAATTAAGCCGGTCTCTGCTCCCGCTCTTGGCTTCCCTCTCACGAGGGGCTTCAAGACGGGTTCTCCAGTCGTAGTCTCGGGGCACACTCCGACCGCCACCATAGCGCCGGTCATATTCATCCTCTCTATCCACGCTCCTGCCTCTGCTTCGGGGTCTTTGGTATTCGTGGTCGAAGCTCCTCTCTCTGTCCATGCTCCGGCCGCGATTTTGATCGCGACTGTAGCTGCGCTCTCTGCTGTGCTGGCGCCCCCGGTCGCGGCCAGTCCTGTAGCCCTGGTCCAGGTGGTCTCCCCAGCTCTGGCTCCGGCCCCCATTCCCACTATACCAACTCCTTTCACTGTAGCCACTTCGAGTGCTTCTGCCATCAAAATCGGCACGACTATCCATAACTTCAAAGGCCCGGTAGTCATAGTCCAGAGAGGGGCTTCTTCTCACAGCTGGGAGCTGCACTTGGCGAGCTCTTTTAACTATCTGTTTGCAAAAATGAGAACAATTTTGTATTTCCTTGTAAAAGCCACAATCATTTTACATTCAGCTGCCAAAAATTTATCACTATGTTTATAAAACCCAACTTAGACGCAATGTAGCAGAGCACTTCAGCCAAGCTGGCATTCCATGCAGCTGCTCCACAGTTAAGATGCCAGCAGAATGCCCACCTAAACAGCAGGTCACTGGTGCAGAGAAAAGCCTGTGCACTCACTGAGCACCTTTAAACATGGAAATCAGCTTCGCAGGTAAATGCTTTTTACAAGACATCAGCATCTCTACAGCAGGCCTGAAAAATCTCCTCCCTCCCCACCCTTTCCATTTAAAATATTACAGTTTTTGTCTACCAAAGATCAGGCCTTTATACTTCAGACGTATTAATACTTATTTTAAATGTAGAGTGGCATTAACTTCTCCTTAATGATAGAATGCAAATATTTCTGCAAATACTTGTTAACTTACAATGGTAGCCACTTTCCCACTTTTCCTTAACTGCTGCACAGCAAAAGAATGGGCCACATTTTCCATGGGTGTATTATTAACCATAACCACTCTATCGTTCTCTCTGCAAAACAGAAGCATGTTGTCAATTAGAAAATACTAACATTGATAAAAAGGGTGGGGTTTGTTTATTTATTGCCTTCATATCCCTCCTTTTTCTCCATGGAACTCAAAGTGACTTGCGTTATTCTCCCCCTCCTCATTTATTCCTCACAACACCCCTGTGAGGCAGGTTAGGCTGGGCGTGAGCGACTGGCCCCAGGTCACCCAGGGAGCTTTCTGGTTGAGTGGGGACTGGGGTCAGTCCAGATCTCCACATGCTCCCCCACCTCAATCCATTATGGGGAACTGGTTGCCTGCGTTTGCCTCCTCTGCCCCCATCCAGCCCCCTCTACTTAGCTCAGTCGAGAAATGGGGACACGGAAGCCATGAACAGGCCCCCCAGGCCTTTGCCTATGCTGCCATTCTTAGTTCCTGAGCACATAAGGGGAGAAGACGGGGCTCTGCAATGCCCCATGGAGATCCCTTTGTGTTCAGGCACTGCAGCCAGAGTAGTACTGAACTGAGCTCGTTTATCTCTACAGTAACATTATGTTCCGTTAAATTCAGTATAAGACAAATGATATTTGCTTAATAACATAAGCAATGTCTCATTATAATTGTAGGTCAACATTGCTGGAAAGTTGAAGATTTCCTCCCTTTGTTGTTTTACATTTAATTGTTCTCACAACATATTCCCAGAGCCTAATCCCATAGACATCAATTTCCAATGACCAAAACACAAGCAAAGAAATGGAACACGTGAGGCCTGTCAACATCCTCCCAGTCCTAATGCCCAGGCTCCTTGTTCAGTCTTCACCACTACGGGGCGGAGAGCGACATTTTCATTAGCACACCCTCCTTTATTAAGCCAGTGTAGCTTTCATGAATTTGCTACGGCCTTTCCCAACCAGGTGCCTCCAGATGCTCTGGACTATCCCATCAGCCCCAGCCAGGACATACAACCAATCATAGAATTCTGAAGTTTGGGATCTAAAGGAAGGGATCTGCAGGCCAACGCAGATGCTAGGGAAGCAGCTGGGGGCCACGGGTCCAGCATGAACCTTGCTGCCTGCATAACAAACATGCAGCTCCCGTACGGCATTCCCCTGCCCCTGAGATGCTCTTACCTGGATGCATCCCACAGCTGAGCAGGGATTTTGGTCAGGGTCTAGTGTGCTAGCCACTATGCAAGGTTGCCTAAAAGTAAAGCTATCTAGGCTGGATACAGCCTCATACATAAAAATGGCAGGATCAAATAATTACACAAATTTTGTGAAATCTATGCCTTCCCAATTACCGTATTTTTTGCTCTATAGGACGCACTTTCCCCCTCCTAAAAAGTAAGGAGAAATGTGTGTGCGTCTTATGGAGTGAATGCAGGCTGCACGGCTAAGCCAGAAGCCAGAACAGCTAGAGGGAGCTCCCTTTAAATAATTTTTTTTTCTTGCATTCCCCCTCTAAAAACTATGTGCGTCTTTTGGTCAGGTGCGTCTTATGGAGTGAAAAATACGCTATATTTGTGTTTTGCAAACAAATTATCAGAGCAAAGAGAGACAGGCACTACTGCTACAAGCATGTTTACTTACTGAAGTAATCCATCTGCTGGGCCACCTGCAAGGACATCTGACACAACTATGGATGTTTCGCCATTTTCAAAATGAGGGTTGTCTCTGCCACCAGAAACTGCAATCCCAAACCCTCGCTTTGAGTCCTAAAGGGAAAAGAGGGAGGAAAAACGCTCTTTTTAAAAAACAAAACAAAAAATAGAGCCACAATAGAATTTGAAATTGTTAGAACACCAAAATACAGTAGTGCCCCGCAAGACGAACGCCTCGCAAGACAAAAAACTCGCTAGACGAAAGGTTTTTCCGTCCGCGATTTGCCTCGCAAGACGAATTCCCCTATGGGCTTGCTTCGCAAAACGAAGCTTGCCCCGGGGACAGCGGGTCTTCTCTTTTGAAGCAAGGGGCTGGGGGGAGATAGCGATCTCCCTGCAGCCCCTTGCTGCAAAAGACGTCGGGGGAAGCGGGGAAGCGAAGCGCTTCGCTTCCCGCTTCCCCCGGACCTCTTCTGAAGCAAGGGGCTGGGGGGAGATAGCGATCTCCCCCCAGCCCCTTGCTTCAGAAGAGGTCCGGGGGAAGCGGGAAGCGAAGCGCTTCGCTTCCCCGCTTCCCCCTGACGTCTTTTGCAGCTGTTCCGAAGTGGGGCGGGGGGGCGGGGTCACCTGCCCCAGCCGCCCCACTTCGGAAAGCTGTTCCGAAGCGGGGAGGGGGGGCGGGGACATCTGCCCCAGCCGCCCCACTTCGGAAAGCTGTTCCAGGAACAGCTCCATAGGAACCTCCATAGGCGCCCGTCACCTCTCCAGCCAGGAGAGCGCGCGCGGGGCTAAACCAGCCCCCCGCGACCCTCTCCCAGCTGGAGAAGTGACGCGCGCCTATGGCAGGAGCCTCCATAGGCGCCCGTCACCTCTCCAGCCAGGAGAGCGCGCGCGGGGCTAAACCAGCCCCCCGCGACCCTCTCCCAGCTGGAGTTGTGACGCGCGCATATGGCAGGAACCTCCATAGGCGCCCGTCACCTCTCCAGCCGGGAGAGCGCGCGCGGGGCTAAAGAAACCATAGCCCCGCGACCCTCTCCCAGCTGGAGAAGTGACGCGTGACTATGGCAGCAGCCTCTGAAGGATGCACCGAAGCCTGGCGTGGGGGGGGGGGCGGAGAGACCTTCTCCCCGCGCCAGCCTTCGGATGGCTGTCCTGAAGACTTGGGGTGGGAGAAGGGTTTTCCTTCCCACCGCCAACATTCAGAATGCTGTTGGCGGTGGGGAGGAAAAACCCTCCTCCCACGCAAGCCCCGGGAACAGAGGGAAAGCGCTGCGCGCCTTCCCCTCTGTTCCCGTACCTGTGCTGAAGGCTTGCGGTGGGGAGAAAAGCCCTTCTCCGCACCGCCAGCCTGGCAAGCGGTTTCCCTAGGAACGCATTAATTGATTTTCAATGCATTCCTATGGGAAACCGTGCTTCGCAAGACGAAAAATTCGCTAGACGACAAAAATTGCGGAACGAATTAATTTCGTCTTGCGGGGCACCACTGTAGAGGCATAGTTAGACCAGTGATTCCCAAACTCCCACCACCGCCGACTTGACCTCTTGAAAATTGCTCACGGACCTCTGGGAGAGAGGAATGCTGATTGGGCTGTCTTTCTGTTAGTTGCCACTGACAGAAGATAATTATGTGGTGATTGATAATAGTCAGACAGATAGTCTGGCCATTAAATCGCTCTGGAGATAAGGGTGACCTGGGAGTTAACCTCAAAATGCTTGGGTCCAAGCTGCTTTTCTGCTGCCTGAGCCTCGCAGCTTGGATGGGAGTCAGAACAAACTGGCAAGCTGAGGAGTAATGCCATCATACCCAAACACCATGTAATCACCTTTTTAAACCTAGCCTGGAGAAGAGGAGGTTAAGGGGTGATATGATAGCCATGTTCAAATATATAAAAGGATGTCACATAGAGGAGGGAGAAAGGTTGTTTTCTGCTGCTCCAGAGAAGCGGACACGGAGCAATGGATCCAAACTACAAGAAAGAAGATTCCGCCTAAACATTAGGAAGAACTTCCTGACAGTAAGAGCTGTTCGACAGTGGAATTTGCTGCCAAGGAGTGTGGTGGAGTCTCCTTCTTTGGAGGTCTTTAAGCAGAGGCTTGACAACCATATGTCAGGAGTGCTCTGATGGTGTTTCCTGCTTGGCAGGGGGTTGGACTCGATGGCCCTTGTGGTCTATTCCAACTCTATGATTCTATTCTATTCTATTCAACAAACAGTAAGTAAGGTAAAGAATCACACATTTCCTTTTCAAAACATCTCTGGGACAAGGAAACTGTAACGAGACACCCCCCCCATCTGCTGGGGAAAATCTACACTGCGAAAATCTGTAAGTACCTCCTGTTGTTGAGAAAACAGAAAGGAAACTAATTGTTAGAGTGTCTAAAGCAAAGTGAAAGGCCTGATTTATGGTGGACAAGAAGGATTAAAATGGATGATAGGAATCAATATGTGAAAAATCTTTCATCCTTTTTCTGCTTCCTGTCACTAAAGAACTGGAAAAACTGAAAGTTAAGCAGCCGTCATGAGGAAGGTGCTTTGAGACACAGTTGCAGCTGCAGTTTTAAAGGGGAAATTTTAAAGTGGATTGAGGGGCTACTAATATGCAGAACATCAAAAGCATCCAGCATGGCAAAGGTATTGTTGGATCTCCCAGTGATGGTTGGTATTGTTCAACAGTTGATGGCTGAACAATAAAAAATGATTGGATTAATGTCTGAGCAAGAAAATGAGCCAGAGGGATCTGAAGTGGAAAATGGAAATGGGGAATATTCAGAGGCTTCAGAACAAATGGATAAAATGTTGGCAGGACTAGATCAAGAAATAATTAAATTGAAGGAAGCAGTTGCTGCTGCTGAAATGGAAATGACTTCCATACAAGAATTTGGAGAAGGAGAAGATAAAATCACAAATGGTGATATGGAGAATTATTTTGATATGGTGCTGATGGAGTTGAAAGCAAAAAAAAAGAAATCGTGCTCCGGCGGCGTGGCGGCAGCAGGAGGCCCCATTAGCTAAAGTGGTGCTTCAGGTTAAGAACAATTTCAGGTTAAATGCGGACCTCTGGAACGAATTAAGTACTTAACCTGAGGTACCACTGTATAATGAAAAGAAAAATCATGGAACATTCACCCAATGTAGAGTAGAGAGACTTGTCAAGGATGTAAGGATTTATTATTATTCAATATGGAGTAATTGTGGGAATTAATGGAGGTAAATTTAAAATAAAAAATATGGTTGACATTGAACACCACCACCACCACCACCTGGGACCTAGGGATGGGCAATGTATCAATACATTAACAAAAATTGATTGGACGTCCACATCCTGGTAAGTTTCATAATTTTCGACATGGTGATACATCACGAATCATGATGTGCACATGTGCTATGTAAGAAATTGTGATGTGGGAAAAACCGTGAAGCCAGTCATCGCTTCTCTCATGATTCCTGCCACCCTTGTTCCTCTGTACTATATACAGCTGTAACAATATGTTAAAGGTAAGTAAAAATGTATCAGTTTTAGACCCTGAAGGACATTACCCTGGTAACATTACATGGTTACGCCCTTATTTTAGACATTGTTATATATTAGTATATCATGGTGATTAGCTGGTGATATATCGGGATGTTGAAAACCAGACATCGTTCAGCCCTTCTGAATGTGATGTTGATGTGAGCTCTGGAATTTTAAATATTTTAATAGTTATGCAGAAATGTATTGCTGTGAATTTAAATACACTGCTGGCACAAAAATAAAAATGTATGGGTGGAACAAAACTATTTAGCATAGTTTAACAGTTCTAATTAACAAATTTTAAAATGTTTCACAAGGAAAATTGATCAATAAGGTTAATGGGTTATGTCAGATTTACTAACACAATGGCACATGCAAAAAGGGGGAAAGGGACTATTAGAAAAAAAGGACCAGAAATAACCTCTCACCCTTTGTAAGGTCACTGTATACTGTTCCCATATCAGCTCTTCCATGCCTGGGGCCTGTTGGACAATGAAAAGCAATAATCAATAGAACATCACAACAGAAGACAGTCCTCACAAAATTAAGAACAGACCCTTTTCAAAGTCAGTATCAAACAGCAGTAATGTTTTGTAGTTATCACATTGCAGTGCTTTTAAAAATGGACATTAATTAGCCAGAATCTGAATAAAAAAATAAACACGTTTGAAGAACAAAATTTTAGTTGGAGAAGCCTTTTCCGTGGTTTTTTATCTGTATGCACAAAAAGGAAACCACACTTGAGAGAAATAGCTCACACCCAGATCTTTATATATTTGTGCCTGTGGTACTTGCTGCCTGACAAAGGACCAAATCTCAGTAGCAGGGGAGCACATGCCTGAATGTAGATCACTTGGATTAAATTGATCATGATGGAAAACCCTAAGAGACCAGAGACCTTGAATAAACTGCTATCAAAATAGATAGGTCACCATTGCCACTCTGGGAAGAAGGGAGGGACAGAAGTTTAATAAATAAACAATATATGCAATGTAATAAAATAAAAATATTTTATTAATATTATTGACATGAAATTTTCATGGCTTTTGGCTAGAACAATAAACTTGTTGACTGACTGAGTAATAAATGAGATTGCCAGATCTGACACATCCAGTGACTGTCCCTGAAAAGGTCTTGCCCAAGTCACCCCCGTCCTGTCTGCAGTGAAGGCAGGTCAATAATACAAGGTCTCACACAATGACTAGAAAGCTCATGTAGGAGGTGATCTTTAAGATGTCTAAGCCCTAACCATATAGGGCTTTAAAATGCAATTAGTAACTACCACATTGAATTGTACCCAAAAATTAATCTTAAGCCCCCCTCAAAACCTGGCCACCGCGTTCCGTACCAGTGCTGGTTTCCAAATGCTTTTGGAGACAGCTCCATGCACATAAGATAGCATGTATAGGAGAGAAGGTCTGGATTATTGGGCAGGAAATTGAAGCAATTAAATGCACAAATTGTCATCTCATCTGTCCTCCCAGTTGAACGACGTGGCCCAGGGAGAGAGGGGAAAATAGTGGAAGTGAACAACTGGCTTCGCAAATGGTGCAAACAGGAACGGTTTGGATTCTTAGATCACGGACTGCAGTTTCTTAAAGA